TATATTTTTTTTTATAACTTACTTTTTCTTACTTTACACTAGTTTTATGAGCACATTCGCTTATTTGTTTGCACTTTCGTTTAGGAACTTTTGGTTTTCAAATAAATACTTCTCACGGCAGCCGGCACGAATAGTGTCTACTTTTTGCAAATAGTTTACTTACTTATTTTCTATATGAATATCTGCACAAAATATTTTTTATTCTGTTTCACTAAAAATCCTGGTTGTTTTGTGTTTCTGCTTCTTTTTTCAAAACAACGTTTTTATTATTTTGAAATTTTCCCATTTCAATGGCGCACGTTTTCATTGGATTTTTTAACCAATTCAATATTTGTTGCTGTATTTTCTGTTGGCACTGCGCTGTTGTCCGCCCCCTCCATTTGCTCACACTGCATTTTTTCTAAATTTCTGGTTGCCTCCTTTTCCACGCCTGCTCTCGTTGCTTTGTTTGAGTCGATTTGCTTTTGTTTTTGTTGTTTATTTCGTATTTTTATATTTTATTTAAACTCTAATATATATTTTTTCTACGCAACTATATCACGTTTTAGGAACTTTCGTTTTCGTTGAGTCTTTTTTACGTTACATTTTGCCTCGGATTCCCCGACTTTTTGTCGACTTTTGTTTTAGAGATGTTGCATGTCTGCTCGGTTTATTATTTCTTTTATTGCGCTGTACGCGCCGGTAGGCGGGTGTGTTTAGAAAATTGTAAAAAAAAATATTTTAATCGATTTACATAGAATTTCTACGCGTTTAGAATTGAAATAAGTAAAGAATACATAAAATAGTGAAGTCAGGCGAAATAAAAAATGCTTTCATTCAGAAATACTAGAAACGTTTAGAATCGAAGTTGTGAATGGAACATACGAGTGCGATATTTTACACATATGCATGTGTATATAGGTGTACATGAAGATGTGTGGATGGCATTAGAATATAATGTACGCGAATATCGAGTTAAGCTAACAACCGCCTCATATGCGCTCACTTACAGTTACGTGTGTACGCTTAACAACACGTGGCTACCCTGCAGTGAAGCCAACAGGGTACGATATGCTTTAGAATTGGAATGAATTTGCAGCTCAACTAGTCAATAACTAGTTACTATTATTCTAACGAATCGGTAAAAAATATACCAGTTACACACTTGCTCGAAACATATGCCTAAATTGTCTAGTTCTAATTTTATGCAGTTAATGTTTGTTCTTTCAAAGAAGAAGATAACATCTAATGAGTCGAGGTTACGAGTTTTCGAGGGAAATTTCTGCGGAAGGTTTATGGTTCTTTGCAATCACTGACCGCCATTTACAGCGGAGCCATTAACATCTTCACAGACACCTTTCTCAGTGAATAACGTACTTGGAATCACACCACCTCTTATTGCAGACGAAGAGCTCGAGTTGTCGCGAGAAACAAGAGTGACCCTTGCGCAGCTTCGTTCTGGGTACTGTAACAGAGTAAGTTGTAGTTTAACGTGAGTTCCTGCCTGCGAAGGCCTAACGCCACGGTGCTTTCTATTGCTAGAAGCACATAGATCAAAACAATGTGTTGATCAGCGCGCCAAAGCATGAGTGCGTGCACCTGCACCATACTCTGGAGAACCAAAGCATGCGTGCCGCCACATACACTCATACTTTGGTTCCAATTGGTTAGGGTGGGTGGTGACATTTGTTGCTTGAACAACAAATGAATTTATTTTAGGAATTAATATAAAAACTATAATATCATTTCAAGCTAATATTATAGCACTTACTCTGACTTTAGACCATGATGACATTTAAACAAAGACCTGAAATGTCAGACATAGTGCATTTGGATTTTAGTCGCCTCCTACGACAGGCATGCCTTACCACGGGTATATTCGGTTCCCCCCCAACCCAAGGGGGGTCCCCCGTACAGGTGGATGGGTACTGTAACAGATAAAACTCCTACTTATCCAGAATAGACTCTGACATACATATCTAATATAAGTCCAGCGTGCAATGAGTCTCCGCATGACACTAGCTACTTCTTTGCATGTCTAGCATACCCAACTCATCTGACACTCTTTTCCCGCTGGTCTGATCCCGTCGAAGCAGCACGTTTCGTAGGCCTATCGTTGGATGACGTCGATCACAACTTATCTAATCCATTTCCTTCCGGGATTAGGTTCTCGTAGTCGCTGACTAGGCCATGTAGTCCGAATGGTTGAAACACCACCGGGGTAACGGGTTTTTCAATAAGACAAAGAATCGCCCAAAGTAATGAAAAAATTGCTGTCATTCTGGCAGTGGTTTCTGAGGACCGCAGTTTATCAATTCCAAGAAGCTCAAGCTCAAGAATTGGACTGTCTCAAACCGCAACCTGGCGGATATTGAGAAAGGATTTGGGTTTGCATCCGAATAAAATTGTTCTCTCTCAATAATTGAAGCGTTTGGACTTCGTGAATTTGCTGATTTTGCCGTGGAAGAACTTGAAAACGATAACGCTTTTTGTTAATAAAATCATATTCTTTGACGAGGATCACTTTCATCTAAGTCGTGCAGTAAATAAACAAAACTGTCGATTCTGCTGCGCAGAAAATCCACAAATTTTTTATGAACAACCATTACATTCCCCTAAATTGGCAGCTTGGTTTGGTTTTTGGTGTGGTGAAATCATCGGTCCGCACTTCTTTCGAAATGAAGCTATTGACACTGTTAGTATCAATGGTATAGATCGATGAGAACCAACTTTTTATGGCCGCAATTGGAAGAAGTTGATCTTGCCCACATCTATTTTCAACAAGTCGAGGCTACGTGCCACACAGCACGAGCAAAAATCGAATTTTTGCGAAAAAACGTTCAGAGATTCGATTATTTCAAGAAATTTTGACATTTAATGGTCTCCAAGAAGTTGGTTTGTAATTTCATTAGATCACTTCTTGTACGATTATTTGAAGTTTTTGGTTTGTAGTTATAAATCAGACTCTCTTCGAGCATTAGAACGTGCTATTTATGATATAAGACTTGATTAATTGGAAAAAGCCCTCGAAAATTGGGTTCATCGAATTTGTTTCTGCAAAAGAACTTATTTATATTGATTGTAATTCTCATTAAATAAAAAAAGTTGAATTCCTTAACAACTACAGTTTTTTTTTAATGCTAAAAGACATTCATAAATTATCCTTAAATTGTTTTCAGATGACCAAAAGTGAAGAAATCGTAATAATATGGAAAAACGCAAAGATAGAACTCAATAAAATGATTGGATGTCAGCTTTAATTATTAAGAAAAAATTAATCAAAACAAAATTCAAATTTTGCTTGTGACTGTTTTTAATTATATCTTTATATAACTTGTGAAAAGTGTTCTTACGTTATTTTGCACCTTAAGTGACGTTATATTAATTTTAACTGATTTTGAAGTAATAATTTCCCTCGATTTGTTATAGCTAATCATTTTGAAAATATTCAATACCTTCTTGTTCTCTCTGTGTTATTATATATCACAACAGAATCTTCAAATACACGCACAAAAATATGCAAACAAACACGACCCTCGTTGCGCATAAAAAATCTTCCTCCAAACTTCGCATGCACCTACACGGCGTATACGCAACATTAGTGACGCCATGCATAATAGTCATCAGCATTTATGTATGTATATACGCGTATATAATTGTATTACGTGAAATTATCACTCATCCACCATACATACATCTGGAGGTGCGTACAGGCGAACTGACCTTGCTCAACAACAGGCTGGAAGACGACGCACATATTTACTGAATTTGGATAGAGAGAATAGAGCAAATAAACAATGCCGCTACACACCATTGAAGTGAGCAACGAAGAGAGCGCAAATTATACGCAGAAAGCACACACAACCGAGCCCGATTGGAATGTTGGTGTATTTATTGCATTAGATTTGAAGCTCTGATTGAGAAAAGTGCCAATTTTTCAGAGAAGGAGCAGAACAAATGGCGAAGTTGAAATGGTTTCGTGCATGAAATGGTTTAGAAGTACATTGCGGAGCATTAAACGCACTTGTTCAGAAATTAGTGAAGCAATTTTTTACTTAATTTAATTTATTCATTTAGTCTAAGTCTATTTATACCCGAACTAGTCTCCCAGTTTTTTTTTTTTTTTTTTTTTTTGGACACGTGCTTTGGTTCCCAAGAGGCTAAATAGTCCTTGGGATCATTATGGCTTAAAGCTGCTATAAAACGGACCGACCCAAATCAAATTCTTGTAAAGAATCTTTTGCGTCGATCAAATGCTTCGTCTACAGCCACAACTCAATTCAAAATACGAGTTTCGTTGAAGGAGAGAGAAAGTCAAAAAACACGAAACCTTCAAAAAATTAAAATCCGACATTGAAATCAGTTTTTTTTTTCAAAACTAAAAATATTTGTTTCAACCAAAAGTCCCGTTGGCTTTAGAATGCACCGCATATTAATTAATAACGAAATTCCAAAGAGGCATGCGTTATTTCATTATCACCGTTTTATCACCGTTTCTC